AGCTTCGATTTGTGCCTACTTGCTCCTCAATTCTTCCTGTATCTCTTTTTGCTCTATCTTTAATTTGGATAGAATATCCTCAGTTTCTTTAGACATTTTTCTTGTGTCGTGCTGAGCGTTCTTGCTTCAAGGAAAAACCAAGATCACTTCGTTTGAAATCCTTATTTTAATGAATGAATGTTTTAAACTATTATGACATAAAAATGCAAAGATGCCAAATGTAGATATGCAAATGTAAAAATGTAAATGTAAATTATTTAAAATACCAGAATAGGACATCCAGTTATATTAAGACTGCCCTTTTCTTTGATATTGAAAATAAATAAACATTATTATTTAATTAAATATGTTTTAATGCATGATGTAAATTTAAAAATGTAAATGTAAATACAAATGTAAAAATGTACAAATGCAAAATACAAATGCATGTATGAAAAGGTGTTACTCAAGAGTGATCATCTTAGAACAGATTTCATTGAACGCAAAAGTTTCGGTACATCAAACAAAACTTTACATGTAGGGATATATTTCATTCCTAACTTCTCCAAAGCCAAATTAGTCTATCAACTTAAGGGACATATTGCTTGTCTGGACTGCAACATCTTCCATGACATTCTCTTTCATTTTCTGTCACTTCTCGGAGTTGCTCATTTTCCCTTGTAAGAGATCTTTTCTGTCCAAGGAGTTCTTGAATAAGATCTTCATATATGTTGCAGTTCTTTTTCAGCTTGGTGACCCTGTTATCCATTCTTCTGGGGTACTTCCTAGGCCAGCATTTTGAAAGGTTTGACTGATCTTCTGAAAATCTTCATGCATGGTTTTCATTTCTGTGCTCAATTTCTCATTTTGGTCGTTCAAGTCCTTCAAATAACATGCTTGAGCTTCATAAAAATCTCCATTACTCTGAATGTCCCGACTGATACTCTTACCATAGACTGCTTTTGGTATCAATCTGGCAGAATCTTTATGGATTACTTTTGGTATTAATATAACCGATTCTCTGTGTGCAGAACTTCCCTCGATCCTCGTAGTTTCTTCAGGATGTCTTTCCTTGGCCGCATCATATTTTGTTTGATCATAAAACTTTTTGTCCATTTACGATTTCTTTCCAATATGATGAACAGTCTTTCAAGCCAACACCTTTTGGTTATGCCATGATCATGTAATGTAAACAAAAGAAATCAATATGAACATATTAGAGCAATGTAATATACATGAAAAAAAATAAAAAAAATAGAATAGTTAGTACCAACTAAAAAAACTATATATCAATGTATAAATCTTAACCTCATGCTTTCTAGTTCCATGCTTTGTTTGGAAAATTTAACCTAACTGCATGATTTCTAGTTCGCATGCATTTATTCAGGAAAAAGAAATAAATTAAAAGCTAGAGTTTATTTCTCCTTTGTGTATACCTACTGACAAAATTTCGGCATGGTTTCAGATCGGGAGAGTTTCTAGGGTTTATTATATGTAGGTTTTCAGTTCTAGGAGTATAGGTACTCGAACTGTCCTTGTTGATGCCCCCTTGGGCTATCAAACCCTCGATCATAGTCCATTACAGACTTAAACGGATCGAGTTCAATTCGAGGGGATACATTTCTCTATGACTAACACGGAGAATAAATTCTCACGAAGACATAGAGCATATGAACCCCAAAAGTTACTTGCTAGGTCTGACACGGAGAATAAATTCTCACGAAGACGTCGCTTTCACTCCCACTTAAAAGGGACAACTCAATTATAGAGCTTTATGTTATGCAATGCAAGTGTTGTGTGTGAGGAGAAATGCTCAAACCTCTAACAGATAAATAAAATAATTAATACCTGAATAAAAAAACAATATTAATATAAAAATAATAAATAATAAAAATTTGAAAAAAAAAATTAAAAATTAAATAAATGAATTTTTAATTTCTAATTAATAAAGACAATTTATAATTAATTTTGAAGTTTGACAGGTCCCCAGCAGAGTCGCCAAGCTGTCGTAACCGGTTTTCGTCCGGGCACGAAATATTATAATTTGGCGGGGAAATTGATGTTAATAAATAATTTTGAAAATAATTTGTGAGTCGCCATCGACCTTTTGAATCAGGTAGGTCGAATACCTAAAAATTTTCTTTTAAAATAGTTTTTAAGAAAACCATATTTAAAAGATGAACTGATCTGCGTTTTATAACCAAAAATTCGTTCTTTTTAATAATAAAAAGGGATTCGTGGTCGGTTACGTTTAGGGAAGGATTAGCACCCCTACAACGCCCAAAATTGGTACTTTTTAATTATAAATTGTCTCTATTATTAAAATTTAAAATTCAGAAATATATTTAATTTATAATTCTATTATTTCAAAATTATATATAAAAAAATTTATTTATTTAAAAATATCCGAAAAGAACTTCTAGGTGCCTTAAGACAGCTCTTTTCTTTGATATTGATAAATATTAATTTAAATAATATTGTTTACTTTTTAATTTTAAAATATCAGAATAGGACATCCAGTTGTATTAAGACTGTCCTTTTCTTCGATATTAAAAATAAATATTTAAAAAATACTATTTATTATGTGTATATATAAAAATATTTAACAGTATAATAAAATAAAAATATCACTAAAATAATATATTTTAAGCAATAAAATGAAAACATGTAAAATAAATAACTAAATTATGAATAAAATAAAATTAAATCTAATTCCTAATTAATTGAAATTATAGGGATTAAATATTTTATTTTCTAATTTTAATAACTTAGTGACTAAAATGAATTTATTTAAAATTCAAATTTTATAATAAAATTAATTAAAAATATGAACTAGGGATGAAAACTTTATTTATTAAAATTAAGGGATTAAATCTGTCATTTATCCTAAATATATTATTTTAATTAAAAAGACTAAAATGAATAAAATTAAAATTCAAAGACCGAATTAAAATTCTTATAAATTCAGTTTAGTGACCAAAATGTAAAGTTTACAAATATGAAGGGCTGCGGAAGGGATTTAACTATTTTATAATTACGCGCATAGTCCTTCCCGAAACGACGTCGTTCGGGAAGGACTATATAAGTCCCAAACCGGCTGGCCCTTCGGGCCAGCCATTTCATTTTCTTTTTTTTTTCTTCTTTCTTAAACCGAGAGAGAGAGAGAGCCAGAATTCTCTCTGGCCTCTCTCTAGATTCCCTCACCGGAGGGAGTCCGGCGGCCGTCTGCCGCCGTGAGTTCTGCCGCCAGCCACCGCCGCCGGCCACCGTTTCCGGTGGCCGGAAAAAATATTTTTAATCCTAAATGTAGATCGGACCGTCCTAATGACGGTTCCGATGTTTTTTTCGTTTAAACGGCTCCCAATCGGAGCAAATCTACAATAATACCTTCGGCTTTTCGAAGTTTTGGTGAGATCCGGTGACGGTTGGGGTTCTCCGAGGACAGGGTAAGCTTTTGTCTCTCTTCTCTCTTTTTCCTTGCTGTGGTTGATGCTGACTGAGATCGTTGGTAGTTTTATATCTCTCTCTGTTTTCTTCTTTTTTTTTTCTTTCTGGTTCTGTCTCTGTATTTTCCTCTCTCCGTGTTTTTTTTTTCAGGTGGGTGGTGGCTTTTATAGCCACCACCGGTGCGGTCATCGGACCGGGTAATAAACTACCCTTCGGTGAGTCACCGGACTACCAGTGGTGACTCACTGCTAGAGTAGTAACGTGGGTGGCCATCTGGGTCTTCTGGAGGCTTCGATGGAGGCGTGGCACTGGCAGCAGAGGCGGCTGGAAGCTGTTGAGGCGGCTGGAAACCATTGAGGCGGCGGCATACGGGATTAGGGTTAGGAAACCCTAACTGAAACCCTAAATGTTTTTGGGTTTCAGTTTGATTTGGGCCAGAAATCTGGCTTGTAATTTTTTATCATTATTTATAATATTTAATGTATTTAATAATAATAATAATAATACTATTATTTATAATAATTATAATAATAATATTTATAATTATAATAATAATAAATAAATTAATATGGGTAAAAAATTAGTATCTTCAACCAGTTTTCTTATCAAATGGGCCGGCAGCAGATGTGTTCATTTGGTAGGTAACTCAATGGTGAAGGCTTTGGATTAGAGAGTTCCGATCTGAACTCAAAGTTTCATGTGGAGAAAGATTATGACAGTAATACTTTGACCATAAATGCCGAAAAGAGCTATAAATGGAAAGATAAAAATTTCCCAGGCTGATGAAACTTCACATTGTTCATAGCATTTTCCACCAATATGCAACAATGTAACACAAGCTGATTCTGCAACAAAATTCCAGCAAAGAGAAACATAAACCCATTAGAAAGAAGTTGAAAGCTTTACCTATTGCTCCAAGTATGAGAAAAATCATTCCACTTCTCACCATCCGGGTCTTGGTAGAAGCTTTAATTAATGCGAAAATCGGGATTCTTGAATGATTGGCTTCAACTATAAATTTTCAAATGCATGGAGTACCGTAATGTCTATTTAATGGTAGAAAATGAAATATTAGTCATAAATAGCATCGCCAATCACAAATTGAATCAAAATACAAAGATGTAGAACATGGGGAGGCCCAAGTAAGAAGCACGTGAGCAGCCGCATTGGCGGACCGACGAGTGTAGCAGTAGCAAGGGACATTGGCAAATTCAACGGTGTGTAAAGGTTGGGTACGAGGGTGTTATGTTGTGGCTTGCTCTATTACCTTTTTTTATCCTCAGGTGTTCATTCGGTTAAAACCGAACCGATCCAAACAAAAATACCCTTAATTGAATTAATCAAAAAAAACATTTAACCGTTAACCGAACCGAACTTTTTTATGAAAATATTAATCGAACCGAATAAATTTCGGTTAATTTTTAAATTAACCCAAATTTTTAAAATTTTAGAATTTAAAATTTTTTAATTAAAAAAACAATTTACAGTATCTAATTAATTTGATTCAAATATTATATTAAAATAAAATATTTGTATCTATCAATTTAGTTCAAAAAAACCAACAATACTGCAGTTCAAACATTACAATACTGCATGTTTCGGGTCAAGCGAATCATGGTTATGGTTCCCGTTATGAATGCCATGATTCCTCCGAAAACCTGGTTGCTCATTCTTTTATTAACCTTCCCATTACCATTGGAAATGGCAAAGCTTTCTTCTGCCTTTGGTTTAGGCCATGAAGGATCCATGTTCTTGCCAAGCACTGGAATGACATTGACATGGGCAAGGGAATCCGAGCAGTTTTTATCAATGAGAGACTGCAATATACAAAGAAGACAGAGATCTACATAAGCGAACATGAAACGAGAAACCAAAATACGAAGTGTTCAATTAGTTCCCATTCTTGACTTCGCATTATAATGAGTGAAACTTACTTCAGCAACATGATATAAAGGAGCATTCTCTGCAAGCCGTTCAGTTGTCCCTGTAACTGATTTTTCGGCATTGAAGGAATCACTCGTCTTCGTTTTCACAACATGGAAGAGAAAAAAAATGGTTAGGCATTCAATTTGTAGTTGCATGATACAAGTTAGGTCTAGGATAATTTGTGAATGTTGAGAATGGAAAAGCCTTTTTTCTTCTAGTAGTGAATACCTGTAGGCATGCTTTGTCCTCAACGCCTGATGTATTTCTCCTTGTGCACATGGCCTTACCGTTTTGAACCCTCTGCTCATGTAAATGAAAGTACTCCATTTTATTATACCAATAATCATTCATGTTGAACAGTTTTATGCCCATGCTCCACTACAAGCCCATGCTCCACTACACTTTTGCCCATGCCTCAAGGCACAACAAAATTGATAACCGGAGCACATGGGGGCAGCATATTATGGCCATTAAAAAATATTTCAGGGTTAATTCGGTTAATTAATCGATTTCGATCCAAATTAACCGTTAACTGAATATCCAAAAAATTATTAACCATTAACCGACCGAACTAATTCGGCGGCCGACCGAATTAACCGAATTAATTCGATTCGGTCGGTTAACCGAATTAGTTTGAAAATTTGAACACCCCTATCCTCAGCTACATAACTAGTGTTGACATTTCCTTTGTTTCAGTTCTATTGTCTCATCATAGCGTCGAGAATCGTCCATTATATACGTATAGACTTTTAAACAACAAGGCTCGATATAAAAATTATATACTTAGATATATTTGTTTCCCCTATAATTGATTTTCTAAAAAATGTAATTTATTTTTCGAAATCTGTATTTTGTGAAACTGACGGACCCCTTAATTGCCGCAGAAATTGTAATAACAATAGATCGATACTTTTAACTTGGGTTAATTTACAAAAGAAAGTGGAGATCCTTCACTACATTTCTAGCATAAAGTTGCCTTCGAATTAGAACCTGGATCATCCAGCATTGCCTCAAAATTTGGAATCAGGTCATCCATCGTTACCTCCAGATTAAAGGCATGGTTTTCCCTCGAAGCGGCATCCACGTTAATTCTCAACTTCATTCAAAACGTACGAGCCTTCAGCGGCTTAAAATCAATTATCACGTTATTTCTCGAGAATCGACTCCTTTTACATGTCAACAAAACTTGATTCAACTAAAAAAACTAATATTTTTATTCAAATCGATTTAAAAAAACTCAACTCAAATTAAATTTGAGTTGTAATTTTATAAACTTGACTCGACTAAAAAAAAATTCAAGTTCAAATCGAGTTATAAAATATAACTCAAATAGTAACTTGAATAACTCAAATAGTAACTTGAATACCCTGAAATTTTTAGTGATTAGTGGATTAGTTTTCATGTTTGAGATGAGTCCCTCGACTCTGTATGATATATGTATATCACATATGAAAAAAATATGAAGAAGTTTATATGTATTGTATATGGTTATAAAAAATAATTTAAATTAGACTCCAATTAAATTTAAATATTAGAAATAATTACAATTATATTTAAATAGAAACTCAAAAATTTGACTAGACTAGACTCGACTCAACTAGACTCTAATTTTATAAACTCAACTCGATTCGAAAAATTTTAAATCAAGTTTGAGTTATAAAATAGAACTCGTCAACTCGAATAACTCGATTTTTTTAATCAACTCGACTCGATCGAACGCTCACTCCTAACTCCTTTGATACAGTAAATGTCTTTTTCTTATTGGATCTTGATTCAAGTCAATTTATGGCATTCTTTCAACCAATAAATGTTGTACCTCCTCCGCAAAATTGCACATTTGTTGTCAATCCTCCACTAATCGAGGTCTATTGAGTTCCATATCTTTTGGATAGCTAGAGTTACTTAACTTGACCGATGTAAGTCTCATCACCAGTCAAATTCATTATATGATAATCAAATCTACCAGCTATGTTGACTTAATAATAGTCACTATCACTCTAGGTCTTAACATTAACACTAAGGGCATGTACATAAGTCATCATATAAAATAGAATAAGATACTTTGTTTTTCTCTTTCTCTCGATCTCTTTCATCATTGTTTTTTTTTCTTTAGATCATCTACCCTCTGCATCTTTTCACAAAATCAGTTTTTACGATTTGGATGATTGATGAGCACCACTAATGATAAGCACCTATAAATTAATTTATAAAACGTTAAAATTATAAAGGACCCAATGTATAATTATAAATTAGTTGAAAATTTAAAGGAAAATTATTTAAAATAAAAGGTAAACTATATCAGTGACCACAATACAACATAAGTGGCCAATAGCGGCATTTAAAAGCGCCGTTAAAAATGTTGTCGGCACAAAAAAAATGCCGTAATTTTTAGCGGTGTTTTCTACTTATAAACGCAGCTAAAAGTCAGGTGATTTAGAGGCGTTTGAGTATACAAATACCGCTAAAGCTCATGTTATATTGCGGCGTTTTAGAGTACAAACGCTGCAATATGTTTGATATTTATAATTATTTTGTAGAAACATATTTGATATTTAGCGGCGTTTACGACCACAAACACTGCAATAGAATAAACATTTTGCGGCGTTTGTACTAAAAAACGCTGCAATATATTTGATATATAGTGGCGTTTGTAGTCACAAATGCCGCAATAGATTTGATATATAGCGGCGTATCTAGTAGAAACGCCGCAATAAGTTGGTCATTTAGCGGCGTTTAATCGTAAAAACGCCAGTATATATGCACTTCATTAGTGGTGTTTGCCCCTAAAACGCCGCTAATCGAAACTGATTTTAACATATTTTTTCGTATTTTGTATTACCCAAATTTAACCTGTAACAATATCCAACAACTTATAGTAAATTTAATTAAGTTTCGAATTAAGTAATAATACATAAAAACATAAATAAATCAAAGTTTACAAATATTTAAGTTAAATATAATGTAGTTCAACATTTTTCAATAACATAAAGTAAGCATTAAGCTAAGAAAACACCTAGGATGATGAATTCTTCGTTTGATTCTGCTGCATCATCTGCCTCATAGTTTCAAGTTGTTGTTGAAGTTCTCTCTCTACTTCTCTCGTTGCTCTCTCTGCTTCTCTTGCTTCACCTTCGGCTTTCATTTGAGCAATTTTTTCATCAAATTCTCTCAGCTGTTGTTTTAATCGAATAACTTCTTATTGAGAAGACTGTCTGTAGGATGACATGTACTGAGACGAGCTAGATCCAAAGAATTTGGTTGGAGTAACAAATGATCCCTGACAGTGAACTCGACTATATCTTTCAGGACTGAAAACTTCAGCAATAACTTGATTTTCAATCTCCTCCGCATTAATAGAAGCATGGAATGAAGTCATAGCTTCGTATTCTACCATTTTATTGCTCAATTTTTCATGATAATCAGTTTAGAACATAGAACAAATTCAACATTTATTTAAAATACACAATTTCATACTGTCGGAACCGTCTTTCGGTTGGGCCCCGAATTGGGCTTCGACTTGGATTAAATGAATTGGAGTCGCCACCGATTTAAAATGAATTTAGGTAGGTCAGACACCATCGTACCTGATTTGCATTGTACCAGAAACGTGTCAGGTTCGGGAGTCGGTTACGGTCAAGGAAGGATTAGCACCCTTGAACCGCCCTTTCGGTACCAATTAATTCATCGGTTGTCTTAATTGCAAAAATCAAAATTTAAATTGAAATTTAAAAATTCAATTCGAATTAATTATCTTTGATCGATTGAAAGGATCCCTAAAAAGTCAAAAGTGTTGGATTGTAAAAATGAAAATAAACATGAGAAAAGAATAATAATAAAATATTAATATAATAATATTAATAAAAAATGAAAAAATATATATATATAAAACAATGTAAAAAGAAATAAAAAAATATTAAAATTAAGAGAAAATGAAAAATATATATAAAGTAAATAAATAAAAAATAAAATAAAAAGAATAAGTCAAAAGTTGTTACATCTCTCATGTTTTGCGTGTAGAGAAACTGGATTTGCAATGAAAATGCTATGTCACTCCTCGTGCTTTTAGATACTGGCTTTGGATCCTCCACGCTTATTTTTTGTCCTTTTCTTCCCTCAGTTTTTCCAAATCGTTGCCCCTTCCTCTGATTTTGGTTCCCTGTTTTTCTCTGTGTCCTTTCCTCTTGATGCATGAGTCTATTTATAGTCTAAAGAAACCTATTTTTAGCTCAGATTTAGAGTTCTACTTGGACTCAAAATGCTTCGGTTTTAGTGTTTTAATAGGACTCAAATATGTTGGTTTATTTTCTGAATCTCACTAAATTGAGGTTGTTGAGTGCTGGGCCTATAAAAATAATAAAATAAAAATATATTAATAATAATAATAAATAAATAAATAAATATATAATATAATATAATATAATATTTTTGTAGACCCGGAAAAAAATGGGTGTCTACAGCTGCCCCTCTTTGCATATTTTTGTATTAACAAGAATAGGGCAAAGATGAAAAAGACAAACAGCTTTTGTTCGGTTCTCTTTGATTTGAGACTTGATAGTGTTTGTTGTGACACTAAGTCTATCCATTGGGCACGATATCCTTCTTCTTGAAGTTGAAATCGTGGGGAATCAGAAAGTGGCTCTTTGTTGCCAATCTTGGTCAACATTGGTCTTCTTCTCGATTTAGAGACCTGGGTGTAACAATTTGACCGGAAACTAGTTCCTTGCTAATGCAACGCGGTTGATACGCCCTCGAGCTGAATGGAATCGAACTCGAAGGTCTTTGGTAGATAGCCCTTATTGCCTTGAGCTATGCTGCAAATGATGGTGCCTTTGAGCTGAGTGGAGTCAAACTCGAAGGTCTTTGTTGACAGATAACCCTTCTAGCCTTGAGTTATGTTATAAATGATGTGCCCTCGAAGTTGAGTGTAATCGAACTTGAGGGTCTTTTGCAGATAGCCCTTCTCGACTTAAGCTATGCTGCAAATGATGTGCCTTAGAGCTGAGCATAGTCAAAGTTGAAGGTCTTTGGTTGGCAGATAACCCTTCTCGACTTAAGTTATGCTGCAAATGATATGCCTTGGAGCTAAGCGTAGTCGAACTCGAAGGTCTTTTGGTCATATATAACCCTTCTATCCTTGAGTTATGTTGTAAATGATGTGCCCTCGAAGCTTAGTGTAATCGAACTCAAGGGTCTTTGGCAGATATGAGCGTAATCAAACTCGAAGGTCTTTGGTTGGCAGATAACCCTTCTCGACTTAAGTTATACTACAAATGATATGTCTTGGAGCTGAGCGTAGTCCAACTCGAAGGTCTTTTGGTCACATATAACCCTTCTAACCTTGAGTTATGTTGTAAATGATGTGCCCTCGAAGCTGAGTGTAATCGAACTCGAGGGTCTTTGGCAGATAGCCCTTCTCGACTTAAGCTATGCTACAAATGATGTGCCTTGGAGCTGAGCGTAGTCAAACTCGAAGGCCTTTGGTGGGCACGATTCCCTTCGTCGTGAAGTTAAAACCATGGATGGCCCCTTCGTTGTGAAGTTGACCCTCGAATTGGATATCATTCATCGTGAAGTTGAAATCCAAATATTTATTCTGTTTCATGGCCAATATCCTTCGCCGTGAAGTTAAAATTGACTCAGAAATTGGAAAGTTATTTGTTGACAGCCAGCTGCCCCTTCGCTGTGAAGTTGAGCTTGTGTTGTCTCGAGTCCAATATCCTTCGCTATGAAGTTAAAATTGACTCTGAATGAAACTGAAAAGTTGTTTGTTGACAGTCAGTCGCCCCTTCGCTGTGAAGTTGAGCTTGTGTTGTCTCGAGTCTAATATCCTTCGTTATGAAGTTGAAATTGACTCTGAATGAAACTGAAAAGTTGTTTGTTGATAGTCAGCTGCCCCTTTGCTATGAAGTTGAGCTTGTGTTGTCTCATGTCCAATATCATTCGCTGTGAAGTTGAAATTGACTCTGAATGAAACTGAAAAGTTGTTTGTTGACAGTCAGCCGCCCCTTTGTTGTGAAGTTAAGCTACTACCATCAA